CCTTTATTTGAGGTGTACGTTATTTCCCCTAACTAAGTCCTCGTAGACAGGTTCACCAGCCACAGCGATAGCGTCGATTTTTGACCCAAAAAGTCCACCTCGACGTCTTTTTAGGGTGGGGAGGGTGGGTTTGAGGGCTGTGTCAGAGGAACAGATTCAGCAACACCATAAACACCACTGGTAGTGGCGAAAGAATAGCTGCAACCCTTCCAGAAGAGGGTCTTAGGTCGCCACATTTTAAGAAATCCCCCAACGCTACGCATTTCGGATCATCGTCGAGCTGCCAGTTCGCACACCAAAAGTCACGATGGCCTTATCTCTAAATCTCAGCTTTTCTTCGATAAAAAAATGTCTGCAGTACGTCAGAAGGTGGGCCAAATGAAGTAAAACGGTTCGCGGAGAGCAAGAGATATTGGAATTGATTCCCATTCTTGCGACGTGGATAATTTGATTGTTGCCATGTTGGAGCAACTCCGGTTCCATTCGGGGTAAATAGGGAAATCACTGTGGCCACCCCCGCCCCACCGTAAACACAGGCTCCGATGCCCATTGAGCAGATATCCCTCCTCGTTGGGTGGACTGACGAGCAGCAGACCACAGTGGTGTGAAACCATAACGCTAACACTACCAACCACCCCTCCCGCCAGTTCCTGCTGCTGCTGCTCCAGGCAGGAAGACAATGGAGCACTCAGCCTCTCCCCACGCTGATAGCGACTCCAGATGCAGGCCAGTTACCATCTGTGAGATCGTGCCCGCATACGGAAGATCATCCGACGGTTCCACGGCCCAAACTTCAGCACGAACGGCAGCGGTTAACCTTTTTCACATGGAAAGTTCCCTAAGACCAACAGCTCTTGATCTTACTAACTGCCATCTCTCCTGCTTATACTGGTTATTAGCGAAGAAAAAGAGCGAAGCGAGCATCGAGAGAGGTGAAAGCAATTGGCCTCTCCCCAGCAGAGAACAGTGCGGTATATGACAAAGCACATTGCTGTGCGTTAAGAAACACGGAGCAAGACGTTCAGCGCAAAGAGCACGACATACCGTGGACAAGCAGGAGAAGGTTCCCAGTAACTCGACGAGACGTCCCAGCCCTTGACAGACCACAGCCCTTGCCGTAGCACTATCGAGCTAGCCACAAGGCACATCAACAAATTTTGGAAGCTCTGGTCTTCCTTCATCTTTGCAGATTTAAAAAGAAAAAGGATAAAGCATTTGCCGTTGATCAATCCCTTTTTGGGATGCGGCACGCATTCTACTTCCATTTGTACATTCGCAGTGGCGTTTGAATGCGATGTGGCCTATACAATGACTTGCGGGGCCAGCCGATGTACAAGTCAGTGTTTTTATCCTCCCAGACAAGTCTGGTACCAATTAACCGACCCCGGAGGGATGGAAGGCTTGGTTGGCCCGGGCGACTCACGACCCAGGATTTGATCCCCGGACCGCTCGCGTGGTGAGCGCGCCACTTGTCACTACACCACTTCCGCCCCCAGTAACGTTAATCCTCCAAATAGCATGAGGGATAGCTCTCATGTATCACAGATAGGTCCGTCAAATTCAGATCGCTTCCCAGTAAGTAGTACATGCAGCAGTCGCGTTAATTTGTATTTTCTGCGAATAATCTCCCAGTTACCAATCCAGGCGTTAATGCGAGTAATCAAGCATTCGAGCAAAATGGTGCGATTACGCGACAGTCTCATCAATGGCTGAAAAGAGGCACTTGGAGGTAGGTTGTTCAACCATAGCCTGTTTCCCAGGCTGAGGGAACTAGGCCAAACAATGGTTTTACTGACGTGATGAAAGCCGTTCCACTCTACAATCGTGTTCACTGCCTTTAAGTTCTCTTTTTTGGCTTTGCGCACTCTTGAAGATTTTTCCTAGAAATTTGGTGTAAAAAGTGCGATAAGGTGGAAAACCGCTTCCCATTTCAAGTGATTTTTGAGTAACGACCATCCATGGATGTCCTTGCATCACCTTTTCCCGTCTTCTAACACCGGTTGACGACGACCGATATATTTCCCTTGTCGCGATGGGACGGACGCCGCTATTGCTTTTTAATACCACCAAAAGCGTAAGTGAGACTTTGCTTCGAAATCGTTAAAATCTCAACAATGCACAAAAAACTTGTAACTGCTTTGCTTTGAACACGTTAAGACACATATGGGGATGTTGCTATTTCTAAATTTTTTTTTGAGATTTCACTAACACATCGTGGTATTTTTTAAAATTCAGAGGGGGGTGGGTATGAAAGGCGGCGAAATTTGAGCAGATTTTTTTCTTAATATGCATATGAGTGTTCCTTTCGATGATGCTGATATTCTTACCATCTTTGGAAATCAAGAAAAGTTCTCATATGAAGCGATGTGGGAGAACTTTGTGAACCTGACAAGGGAAGCAATTTCTCTCTGACTGGGTGCTGCTTGGGCATTGACCTTATAAAGGTGACCAACTTTATTCGAATGATTAACTCGAGGTCACAAGAATCTCCCGTGAAAAATAACAGACACGAAGGGACTAGAAAAGCACGTTGGAGTGTGCATGCAAGTGTGGCTATGTATACTAAACGATCAAAGAAATTACTTTTGCGTAAACCTCAAAATCTTGCTAAAATGGACGTTCTGATGCCAGAGAGATCTTGATAAAAGCCGATTCGAACTTATTTGGTGGCCTTTACACTTTGCTGACAATACTGATTTTGAAATTGCAATTTAATTTGTGACGTGATTTTGCAATCGAGAACTAACAAAAAAAAATTCCCAAGCATTGGGAAAATTTCAGGTCACTGCCACATATTTTGGGTGAAGACACGGAAGTACTAATTAATTTCATGAAAAGCTGCGGGTTTCCATTTACCTTTCATTAAACTTACACAGCTGCGCGACAGCATTGCCACATTACGTCCACAGACAGCATGCCTGTCGGTACACCAGTGACCACATCGTCAGGTTCAAAAGTGTTAAGGCTTCCATGTTTTTCATATCTTGAAAGGATATATCTTATGATATTCCGTCTATAATTATCATATATAAACCTTTTTCCGATTTTTGATCAGACACCACAGAAGAAAAAATTGAATTGCAAATGTAGAATCCCACGATCAATGTCCATTTTAGCATTCAAATTGATCGAGCATGTCAATCGATGCGTCACCAAATTCTGGCACGAGCCTTCTTCGGCTGTGAGTTTACTTTTGTTTTTTTTCGTTTGTTTTTGCCTTATCACTTCATTATATAAACCAGAACTTTGGTGTGTCGGTTTGTCGGTGTGTGTGTGCGTGTGTCGTTCTGTCCGTCCGGACCGACCGCTCACAAAACCAGGGAGTACGAAGGGCAACACTTCGTGATGTTGATGTCATGATCATGATAAACCCACAGCGGCTATATAAACACCGATCACTCTCATTCTCATGGTGTTGGCCGTGCAGTGGAAGGGCAGGAGGGTGAAGAGGGGTAGAGGGAAGGGAGCAAGAAAGGGGAGGCTGGAAGGGAGGGGAGAGAGAGAAAGAGGAGGGAAGGGGGAGAGGAGAAAGGGAGGGAGAACATGGCGCTGTCATGCGCCGGAGAGGAGGGGTATAAGGAGGGGGAGGGTGGGGACGAGAGACTGAGAGAGAACGACCGTTCTTTAAGAGTTAAGCGTCTTAAAGTCTAGTATTCATGTTGACGTATTGTCTAACCTGATGTGGTGATTGTGATAACACCGACAATGGCTACAAAAACACCGAACGAGCACACTCAGCCTCATTCTACATGATGTTGCCGGGACAGCCGTAGTCGGCGGGCGGTAGAGGGGAGGGGGTGGAAGCAAAGGGGAGAGGGAAAGAGGAGAAAGGGACGAGAGAAAATGGTGCGGCCGTGCGCCGGAGAGAAGGGGAGTATAAGGCGGGTTTAGCACCATTCAACAGATGGAGCGTTGGTTAATGCAGCGGCTCATGCGGCTATCCGATGCTCCTCCCCTGCTGATGCGCGTGATAGCGAGGTGCGCAGCAAACCTGGTCTTGCAAGATAAAACAGGGGAGCTAGTGGACGATACCTACACGTAGTAAAATATGGTCCATATGGTTTCGACTGGTCTAAACTGTCTCAATCAAAGAGGGTAGAGTTCTTCGAAGAAAACCTGAGCATTATTTCTAGTTGACTATGCTTCCTGTTCTTGGGCCAGGATAATCTGCGCGCTATTCCTCTAGGCGCCTTCGTGCTTCCCGCCCGCCGGAAGGCTACCCTGCTGCTGGATCCTGGCCGTCGGACTCTAGTCCTTTTAGCAGAGCGGTAAAGCAGAGCGTCCACGTTTATGAATTCACGTCGTTGAGATTAGCCTATAGTCCGGTCCAAACCAATAAAGAGTCCAGGGCCCGTTTAGCGCGCATTAGGTCGTTTCCCTGGTACTTTTTCTGCTCTAGGGCAGCATTTAGCACACCTATATTCACTTCTGACAGCGAAATTATAGCACCTCTGCTTTTAAGGACGCGGGATGTTAATAGAGGAGACCATGCAGTAACAAACGTCGAAGACGAACATACCTAGGGTAGACCACTTTGAGCGCTTCTGAGAACGGTATGATTCTGTGCTCTCCTCCTCAGGTCAAATCACCTGAATTGACATCAGTCATTCTCCCGCAGCAAGCTTTAGACTAAGCCTAAGCCTACAGTAAGCATAGGCGTAAGCCTAAGCCCATGCGTAACCTTAGACTTCAATGATCGCGCAGCTTCAGTGACCTGACCTAGGACGGGAACTAAACTCTCCCCCTGAGAAAGCAGTAGATGGAATACTGGGTCACGGAGCTTAGGGGGTCACGAAGTGTGGGGAATCGCATAGGTGAAGGGTCGTTGGATGTTACAAGGATTTAATCGTAAGCTGTCTTTAATTTTTAACTAACTTAACGCGTTTTAAGATTTCATGCAAACCGAAAACTTATACAAACGCGAAATCTCTTGGTTGATTTTGTGGGTGTGACCGTAGAAGCTTTGTTTTCTTATTCTTATTATCTAGAAAGATTGAAATCATTTCGCGAAGGATCCTGAAAATTTTATACAATTTACCATCAGATTATTCCTTCTAGGGCTCTCCTATTGCCGACATCTGCGAACCATCAGAAAACACCTGATGTATCTGGTCGATACGAGGGAAATGAGCGGCGAGGAAGACTCAAAGCCCGTTGATGAGGAATTCTGGAAAAGATGTCGCGCTGAAAAGACGGTGGGAAAATTCTCACACACACCTAACCTCTAGTCTTCTGAGCTTCGAATCTTCCAGGCTGAACTGGAAGAGGAGTTTCTCCTGAGAGTCTACTGGAAAGGCATCGAGGGCACGGCCACTAAAGAACTCCGACGACAGGTACTTATTTCAGGATTGACTGGATTTCAAAAAGAAAATTTGAATAACTATGAATCTTTCTTCAGGCTTGGCCATATCTCCTGAAGCTCTTCAGCTGGGATGAGGACCCTGAGCCAAAAATGACCGAATTCACGACAAAATACAGGTAAATAGCAAAGTTAGGTCACTCCCAGGTCAATACTTTAGTATGAATTTCCAGAGAGGATGTGGATAGTTGGAGAGTGCTTGAAGCAGAGGTTCGCCGCCAAGATGAGGAAGACTTTTTAGCCGGTACGTCTATCTATCAGTTTGCCAAGGGCTGCTTTCCATGTGATATTGAATTATAATAAGTTTTAAAAAGCGCTCGCCTTTTTGAATTTATGATTGCGAGGCATTCACTTATGCCTCGATTAAATCAGGCAAAAAACAACTCATCCCTAAGCATCCACTAGTAACCATCCAATTGGATCACTACCGCCCACTTCGCAAATGTCCTGACCTTAGCCTTCCTCTGTAGTCGACTCTAGTTAGAAGGAAATCTAAACAACAAATTATAAAAAGGTAAGAAAGAAAGCATTCGGCGTCGATTGATCCCTTTCTAGATGCGCCACGCACCCTATTTTAGCACAGAATCGTGAGAGCATTTTGATTGCGACCAGGCCCAATGTGGCCCATCCGATGTGCAAGTGCTTTTATCCTCCATGTAACTCTGATACCAGTTAAGCAACCCCGGAGGGGGAAGGCAAGGTCGGTCTGGACGACGTGCAACCCATGATTTTCTCCCCGGACCGTGTGCGTGGTAAGCGACGCCACCTGCCACTACTACTGCCCCCCCCCGCTCCATCGGCATACAATTGATATTGTAATGAGATAAAACAATTGTGGACATTGAAATCAAACAGGAGCGCTCAGAAGATAGGCTTTCAGACATCAATAAAAATCATCAAATATGGTTAAAAAATAAAACTTCACAACCACGAATTTGGAAAGTCAAGAACTTACGGGATCCCGTTAGTTGAAAGAGCGTACACAGTTGGGTAGTAACATTTGCTCGACTGACTGATCTATTCTCGGTAAAATCCTAACCAGGTCCAAGGTTAGCTTGCTCAAACTACGGCTCTGAAGTACTTCAACCCGATCATTCTCTAAATACTGAGATTATGTCAAGGTCTATGAACATGGCGTTTTCCCAGATTTCAAGCCTTTTTACGACCGATCCTTGATTTGTCTATTTCAGCTCGACATCGAAGGTTTCCCATGGCAGAACGCGAATGTTCGATTGCCAGCGAGGTGTTCGAAGATGAAATGCCTGAGAACGGAATGCTGGTACGGCGTACTTTTCTTTCAAGGATTTTAAGCATCTTGAAAATAGGGTCTAATGAATATCACCGTGGCCTGTGTTGACGTGACTTTCACCAGAGATAACTAACCTGGAAGCCAGGGAACCCACTACCGTACTACTTGGAAGTTCGGGGTCACTGGTGCAATCTAATGGGAAATGGAACTGCCCTCTAGTCTACGCTTATTCCGAACAGCTCAAAAAAGTGTCAGGGGGCGGTTCGATTCGTTTTTCAGCCTGTACCGCTAGCTGCATTTTTGCATGTCTCTCACCCTGGCTCTTTAAAATGCGGGAAACCCATTATATTTGTGCAATTTTTCACCGGACCAAAATTTGCATGTGGAATGGCCATCGGCACAACGTTTTCGGCATGGCAATAACAGATATTAAGCGATGGATCGATCGAGGCTCCCTTATATCTCCTTCCGGCGAAGTATTTATGGCTCGTGCGGCCAAAGATGTCTTGCCTCATTTGCGGAGATGAAGTGTGAGGCCTGTGAAGGAAAAAAAGGAGAGCCGATCACCGAAATGCTGAAATGCAGCGGGAAACAGTCCATTTCTTGGGCTGCTAGAGTAGACTATAAGTTGTGCTATAGAGCAGCATAAGTGGGCAGACAGCGAGATAAGATATGCTGGGCGTTAAGGAGAGGGAAAAGAAGCGGGAACGAGAAATATGGAAATAAGCGAGAGCGAGTTGGGCCTACGACGTCAATTCCTGGCGGTATCCCGTAGCATCATTGGTCCTCTGCCTAACAATTTCATGGCACAAATTCTGTACATCCTGCTTGCGGATCAATAGATTGTCTTTATCTTCCCCGACTGATGCTTCACTTGAGTCATCTACACGTGAACTCTGCCTTTAAGTCCTCCTCTCACTTCCCTTCCTCATTCGTGCTGAGAGTTCTGAGCATTTGCCTGACCCCTGCCAGTGAAGCTATTTTTCCTCTGTATCTTAACTATGCTGTCTTTTAGGAGAAACCTCATCATCATGAAGGTGATGCTATTCTTCGACAGTTCGCTGTCAATCTGCATCGAATAGACAAGGACGTAGAGAGATGCGATAGAAATCTGATATTTTTCTCTAACAAAGAAAATTTAGAGAGCCTTCGGTAAGTCGCTCTTTCAGTTCGCATAAATGGTCACCTTAAAATGTTCACTTTACATAAACAAATTACCGTATCCTTTCTAGAAGAGTCATGATCACTTATGTGCGACGGAATCTCGAAGACGGCTATATCCAGGGAATGTGCGACATCTTAGCCCCGCTTCTGGTTGTCTTCGAAGACGGTAAGGGTTTTGGTACACATTCGTTTGTTCCCCTGAACGATGAGTTCAACATTTCAGAAGCGCTCACACTGGAGTGCTTCACGATGCTGATGACACGCCTACGGGACAACTTCCCTCAGCGAAGTGGCATGGATATCTGTCTCATGAATTTGCGCTCTTTAATACAGGTTCGTTTAGTTCGTTCCAAAGCTGAGGTCAAACAATAAAGCAGGTCCGATTATTCCTAATGAGGACAGGTTGACTTGAATGCAGAGAAGAATAGAAACCCGTGAACGCTCTGCCCTGAATTGTGCCAATCTTTCTGGAGATTCCAATCACTTTTGTATTTTTTAGGTTGTCGACCCGCAAATCTTCACGTTGCTGACTTCCACCTCCGATTTTACACATCTGTACTTCAGCTATCGATGGTTTTTACTTGATTTTAAACGAGGTAAGTCTTTTCGCATTGCCGTCGCACACCTATGGACCATTTTCGTACACTTTTTCAGAAATGTCTTACGACTGCATCTTTCGTGTATGGGAGACGATATGGGCTGCTACAAGAACGTTCACCCCTCATTTTCCACTGTTTTTCGCTTTGGCGATGGTAACAAACTACCGGGACGTGATTATTGCCAACAACATGGACTTCACTGATATGATCAAATTCTTTAACGGTACGTGGCTTCTGCTTCATCGGAATCTTGTGGGTGGGGGGGGAAGCACTGCCCAAAGAGTAGCTCTTGACTTAACTCTTCTTGAACAGTCATTTGGCCGGCAGTATCAGGAATGACCAGGAAAGCGACCATAAAGGTACGCGATGCCTGAGACGGGAATCGGTTTTGAGACGTCATTGGCGCCAGTGTTGGGAGACGGTCTTGACCATATCCGCCTTTCCAACGATGACGGCTAACGGCTTCAACAAAATCGCTACACCTCTCAGTAATCGCACCCACTGCCTTTAAGTCAAACTTCAATACATGGTGGACATAGTGGACTTGGAATTGGACTTGATAACCCAGCTGCACAAAAACCCTTTCCTTGAGAAAATGCCTGGCGAATAATGGGAATATGCAACTGATTTGAATACTAAAATATAAGAATTGTCCACGGGATATTTCGAGATTAAGGTTTGCTTAAAGGAATCTTCCGCGAAAAAACATCGCCTCCATTCCTACAAAAACGATACCTTAGGCCCCTCGCTTCATGAAGATAGCAAAAAGAACGGAACATAAGCGATGGTTTTGATAATAATTATGATAACCAGTTCGACTATGAAAATTTTGAATTCCCGCTGTAAAACTTCCACAACTGTTAGCGGCGTGGAGTCAACACGTGCAAACGTGTCAAAAGCGTGAACGTGAACTGGATTCATGTTGGGCCCTTCCCATAAACTGACACGTGGATCCGCACCTGCCACGCACTTCGTCACAGAAGCACTTCCGGTCCCGCCTACTGGTCCAATCCGGTCCCACAGATGGGTCTTTCCAAGGGCTGTTTCTCTTGGGGGTTTCATCATTTTCGCTCTGAACTTTGCATATGGTCTTCAATGACCATGCCCAACACCTGTACACAAGGAAAGGATAAGCAGTCTTTCCGTGGAAGATTCCCTTTAATCACTGCCCCATTTTTTCATAAAGGAAGCAATGTTGAACAATCGTATTCAAGAAGCCACATAAAAGGCGGGGCGTGGCCTAATGTCATTCTGGACAGAATTAGTATTTTACCCACCACAACCGAACAACTTGTGGCAAAAACTAAAAAAAACATTTAGATCCTGAAAAAAAATTTTAAAACATCTAAAATCTTTTATCATAAAACCGTTGCCTACCCTACGGCTGAACTAAACAGGTATTACCTCGTGGCAGTCTCCAAAATTGTGGATGAAAATTTGAGTGGAAATGGGTCTTAATTTGAAAAAAAAACAATGATCCGAATTCAAAAAAGTCTCCGAATCAAAAAAGTCTTAACATAAATCTCCAGACGTCGACGAAAGTTCTTTAAAAAATTTGATTTTACAGAAATGGCAGAGCGTCACGACTGTGTTCGCCTACTGGCAGCAGCACGAGCTCACGTGAAATGTCTGCAGAATTTGGTCCAGCATCTCAGGTAGCACTGATGCCAACACCGTACTTTGGCATTATTTGTGTGGCTTACTGCGAGATCACCAGGGACACCACGGCTAGGTCACGGAGGTATTTTTATGATAGAAAGCGCATTTTGCTATGTTTTACATCTGGGAGGGAAAGTTTCCGAGCCAGGCTACGATCATACTCGGCGACAGGTGTGCGCCGTTAGGCCGCGGTGCAGTGTCGCGCACACTTGCGATGTGCCGCGCGCGGCGCATCCGGGCGCGGATAAGGTGAATGATCCAGTACTGCCGCCGCGCGCGGCCAACACAAATTTGTGCGCTGTCGCGCCGTGACTTATGGGTGAGCTGCTGATATAGAAATAGTACTCACGAGGAAGAGACAATAGAACGATAGACAGCAACAAATGCTAAGGGATTCTGAATGAGCATCCCATTCCGAAGTTTCCTCCTCTATTTACGCACCGCTTAGTATTCACCTGGCGTGACCGTAGCCTGATCGTTGGTTTAGGTGCGCTAGTGTGCCCACTGTCGCATTTCCGACCCCTAGTGATCTCGGATTGAACGATCACAAATAATGTCATGTTTTCTGTATCCATTCTTTACTGTGATATTTATCCTGTTGATTTTCGGCTAGAAATTTTTGTTTGTTCTGTACTGCCTTTCTGTTTGTTCCCTTGAATATGTCTATACTCTTGCTATACGACGTTCTGTTCTTTTGTTGCTGGTTTCTCTTTACACATCTCTTGCACGAGTCCGATAACAATATCATTATAGTACCTGAAGAATATATCAGAATAAAATCTATTTCTTTGTGTTCGCGTACGGGTTCGAGAATAATGACCATGTTTTCTGATCAGAACCCTTCATCCTGACCGAACTGTTTTGAAGGAGGATGTTACGATAATTGGATTTGGGAGATGAGGAGATATGCTTACAAGAAAAGCACCCGGATTCCTCTCTTTTGCGAATACACCCATAACCATATCTTCGTGCATTCTTCACTTTAGGTGAATGCACCCTTGCCTCGCATGGTTGTATGTAAGTTTTTCACTTGTTACTCC